TTTTAAATGGCAATACCTCATAACTTACCCAAATTAAACTATCCAACCCCCTTCTACTCACCTCCCCCATTCCAACCCTACCACCCACCATCCTGCCATGTGATGTATACTGTAGAAGATGCAAAGTAGCTAGGCACAAGCCACATAGACTAGATACCACATTAATTATTTCTTCCTCCCATTTGCAGTGTGGACCCTAAACCTCAACCATTCACCACATGGTGATCCTTTTATAAAATATGGAATTCATGTAGATTATGCAGGGCATCTTCCACTCACTTTCATAATATGACTCGTCCCTTTCAGCTACCCCATATGACAGAGTTTCTTTGTATTATCCCTAAAACTTATGCACCATATAACAGACAAAAATCATTATCAAAACAATCAGTTCAGATGCCTTTTCTCCTTTTGGTTTCTTCTTTGCATGTGCATCAAAAAATGCTTGATATGAACTTGTCATTCTAAAGTTTTTGTAGGGATTAGAGAAGTCTTACAGAATTTTCATAGATATTTCATCAAGTGTCTTCCACCTTTTAAAGATTTCTAGGATTCGTAGTTGCTTGACAAATTCATAGCTAGATTGAAATTAATGTACATCTAACCTCTACACGGGACATGTTATTCTTAATTCTCTATGATTATGTGAAGATCTTATGCACATTGATTTAGATTAGAGAGTGAAATTTGGCTTAGAAAATGACCCTTTTTCTATCTGGTGGTTCTTACTATTGATACATAATCTGCTGCCAAAATATTAATCATTTGACAACAGTTGCAATTTTTCTGGTTGGCTTCTGAAGTTTGACCATTAATTTCTGTCCAGAACTACAGCTAGTTTTTTGAAGTCAAATCTGTCCCTTTATTATTATTATTTTTTTGCAAAATGGGACCTTTAGTAGTGTAATCCTCTATTTCTGTCCCATATTTGAGTGTGTCTGTAAAGCTCTTCTAGATTCTTGTCTAATTAATTTCAATGATAAAATCATTTGAACAAAGAAATTTGAAGTGCATAAAACCTAGCTAGAAGGCTTTGATTAGCTTAAGGAAAAAAGAGGGGCAATATATGACTTTGTTTGGGGTGGGGGTTAAAATTGAAAGTTGCCGTATCGTGAGAAAGTCATTGTTTAGTAAATTAGGATACATTTTATTCATTAGATAATATTAAATGAGGTCACTGTCATCATAAGCAATGATAATAGCCCACAAGCCATAGATAACATTACTAAATTGTGATATCATTAGAATATCTCCTATGCAACCAGCAGCGGAGCCAAGATATTTTATTTGGGTGGACAAAAATTATATGACAGTTTATATAGCAAAGATAATTATAAATAATATAACTGTTCTCCTAATCTACAAGTCCACCTGTTAACCAAAATCTAGATTGCACTTGCAAGGGGAGGGTCGTGTTAGAGAAAGAAACAAGTCCTTCCACATGGTAAATTAGCTACGTGGCTACTAGACCCCTGGTCATCCATCACTAAGGTTGTATTCGTCGAGAAATTTTCATGACTTTGCTCTCCAAAAGAGAGTGTCTAATCCTCTCCTCAGGGCTGATAGTGCTTCCCTATCAATAACTTGTACACAATAGATCATTTCATCAATGAAATGGGATAAAAAGCTTTTCAATGACTCTCTTTGCTGCTGCCTTATGTATTGGAGGCACTTTATAGGCCATTTGCCTTCCTCTCTAGTTGCGAAGCGTTTAAGGAAAACCTTTTTGAAGTATGGCCAACTTCTGATACTTCCTTCTGGAAGTCTGGTGTACCACACTTCAGCTGTCCCACTTAGAGTCAAGTGGAAAGCTCTACATTTCACAGCAGGGGAGAAACCCCTTAGGCTCATATAAGTTTTAAAGTTGTTGAGGTGCTTTGCAGGATCGCCTCTTCCATCATACTTGGGAATTTTAGGAAGTATGAAGTGGCTTGGGACAAGGACCTCCCTAAGTCCTTGAGAAAATGGTAAGTTGTCATCATCGTCGTCGAGGTCACAAGACCTTTTGTGGTTCGTCCGAATCTTTATCCTCTCTGACTTGAGGTCCATGAGATGGTTGGACATACCTGGTTGATACCTGGTCTGTTCTGTCCTCCACTGGCGCTTATTTTAAGCGGAGGATTATGAGGCAAGTTTCTGTGGGTATGTTCATTTTGTCTTTCAAACAAAGACGGTCCCTACTGCCTAATTCTGGGTACAGGATAAGGTTGAGCCTGCTTATTTCTAGGCCTTTCGATGCTCAACTTGTCAAAGACAATTATGGATCTCTGGGGCATGTCTTCTGGTTCGTAATTTGGAGGAGATTTGATTGGAACATTGGACCAATTAGTGGCGTAGTTGGTGTAAGTGTCGACCTCAACTTCCCTCTCTGGGGGGCCTCTTCCCTATTGTAGTGTTGGTAATCAGCAATTTGATTTTGAACATCTTCTTCACCGCGATAGTAGTTCCGTTGAGGAACTAGGGGAGGGTCATGGAGGAAAGCATTTCCTTGAACCGTGTATGGAGGGATTGTGTATCCTTCCCGACTTTGTATATTTCTAAGCAGCTCTTGCATGAAAATATTTTACCGGGTGATATCCCTCAGGTTTTCGGCCATGGTGACCACCTCTCTGGTGAGTTTAACAGCTATTCTGAATTTACCTCTTGATCCACCTCGTCGATGCTGCTGATGAAATCGAGGCAGGCTGTAGGAACAACATATGAGGGTTTTCCTTCTTCAGGGTGTTCCCTATCCCTCAGAGGCACTAACTCTTCATTGTCGAACTCATGTTAATGTTTTTTTTTCAAAGACAACTTTCTTGAGAGTCTTTCCCTTGCAAATTCCCTTTTCAAGGAAAAACTGGCCCTTACAAGTTGTTTCTCTTGGAGTTTTTAGTTGTCCTTTCTTCAAGAACAACCCATTTTCTTCAAGGATAGGAAATTCGTCCAAAAATATATCTCTCTATCAGCTTTTTCCATAGGTTCTTCGTAGTTGAATGTGTGATTTTCCACAAACAGTGTCAATCTGTTGACCTTGTTTTTTATAAGAATGATGTGGACAATAGATGACAGGCCCACTCACGTTCACGCAAGTAAATTTTAACATGTTTCGATCGAAGACTTGGACAAAAATGATGATATTTATGGACGTGGAAAATGGTTTATGACGCGAGACGAAAATTTTTAGACACTAGCAATATGATCAAAGATGGTCATTTTATGCTTGTACATTTTGTTTTTATTTTTTATTTTTTGTATTTTCTCCAACTTGAACTTTCTTGGTCTGTCTACGCCATTATTCTCCAATAGAGTCTTGACATGACTGAGTCATTTGATAGCACATGTAAACGAGTAGCACGCAAAATGCAATTTCTGCACATAATGTATGCAAGCATTCACTAAGCAAGTATTCTTTCAAAATGAGGAAGACTAAGATATATAGGTATACATCAATGGCAATGGCTTCGCGTTTGAGGTGCCTTGTGTTGAAAGTCTTCCTAACATTGGTGGTTAGGCGCCGGGTCCCGTTTGGTCGAGGGCGACGGTAATAACGGCGGTACAAGATGATGGGCGAATGGATTATCGTTTGAGGGGAGACCACAATGATGTGGTCCTTCGTTTGAGGGGAGGATTGTTGGGAGCAAACAAGAAGTCCCACATCGGTTGGGAGAAGAAAAGAAATCCACCATATAACCCAAGTGGGCTACTCCTATATTCCACAGAAATTGGCCAGAAAACTCACATGGGGTGGGCCCCATGTGAGTAAAATATTGAAAAAAATAAACCACCCCCTGCTCTGTGAGTGTTCTGGCCATTTTCTGGCCATTCTGCTTCTGTACAAGAAGCAGAGTTCTAAGAAATAAGCATAACTTTGATTAATATATAATATATTAAATATCACAAAGAAATAAGCATAACTTTGATTAATCTATAATATATTAAATATCACATCAAGTGATAATCATTTTTTTTTTTACGATTTTGACCATAGTATAATTCAATTATTTCAATAATACCATACTTTTCGTTTTCAATATATAATTAATATTACAATCAATTCTCAATTAATTAACATGCATATTAATCTAGATTCCATGAATCTTGACTTAGTGAATTTATTTCTATTCATATATTTAGAAATTTTAATGGGCGTTTAAATTAATTTATTAGCAACTAACTTCTATGTACCAGATGTAGTATAAAAATGTTGCTAATATATAAAATATCACATCAAGTGAAAATCATTTTTTGGACGATTTTAACTATATTATAATTCAATTATTTAAATAATACATTACTTTTCGTTTTTCAATATATAATAAATACTGCAATCAATTCTCAATTAATTAATATTCACATTAATCTAGACTTATTTTAGATGAATTTATTTCTATTCATATATCTAAAAATTTTAATAGGTATTTAAATTTATTTATTAGCAATTAATTCTTATGTACCAGATATAATATAAAAATGTTGTTTATTTGGAGTATTTCACTATCACAAAAAATTTGAATCATGTAAGTTGAGTTGTAAGAGTACAATTTTCTTCTCTTAAATTTATATCCTAAATTTAATTTTCTTTAGTTCGTTTGAGGCTTATCAAATCTTTCCAACGGTATCAAATATTACTTTTACAGCACTTATAAAACATTTCAGAATAACGCGTTACGTCTAGTTCATATAAAAGTAACATCTTAATTAATGTTCGACCTAAACTTAGGAATAATACTGTGTACCAAAATAATGGATTAAGGTGTATAACTTGATTTATTCATTAAATTAGAGAGCAACACACAGTGCAACAGTTTATTAGAACATGTTTCTAAAAGAAAATGTCTTCTTAAATGGTACAGGTACAGTCCATAGTAATATCAAATGCACTAAAAAAGCTATAGTCAACACCATGGTTTTGTGTTTAAGCCTGCATAGATTTTCACAACGTATACACAAGTATGAATACCAGTTGTACGGACAGATGTCATGTATGAAGATGAAAACGTTTACACGTGAATGCTGATTCATTTGCTGTAATGTGGTATAAATTGCTCTGTCAAGTGATGGAAATGATCGCTTTCCCCTTCAAGAAGGCGTAACACCTGCAACCATTTTCATGTTGATGCAATAGGTAAAGATACAATGATATGTTATGAAATTTAGAAGAAAAATGATGCATAACTTTTCAAGAGCAGGTAGAAAATAGAAAATGAATGGAGGAATTGGGATCAGCCTCGAGAAATAGACAAGCACTATACCTTGCATTATGAGTTAGCTAATTAATTTAGTCGCATGCAAATGCAGATAGAACATTGAAAATTTACCTCTGCCATTGATGGGCGCATCTCGGGTTCAGTTTGGACACATAGGTATGCTGTTCTAGCCATGTGGTACAGTTCATACGTGTTATATGAGTCCTCAAGACGGGAATCAACTAGCTCGTGCAATGCAAGCGTCTGAATCAAGTGTAATGCCTGCAATGCCAAAAGAGATGTTTTATCGAAGATGAAAAGATCACATGCCAAAAACTCAAGCAGTTTTCAAGATGTTTGGCTAAGATTACAAAGTTCACTTCTAAGTAAATAAGTGCGTAAGTTGTATAATAAGTAAATTTTTTTTTATGGAGATGCTAAAATCTTCGTCTAATAAAAAAAAACATTGTCAAGAAACCATACCCACTGTCTAAGGGACTGTTTATCTTCTCTTTCTGAATCCACTGCCTTACGTCCTGATATCAATTGGATTAGAACAATACCAAAGGAATAAACATCTGTTCTTACAGAAACAATGCCATTCTCCGCGTACTCTGGTGCAAGATATCTGCACATGCCAAGAAACCTAAAGCTCAGCTCAATTTATTTGGAAGGAAACTCATGCTTTACGCGATGTAAGAAGCGACCATGTTTTCACTGTGAAGTATGAAAATGTACACTCACCCAAGAGTGCCAAGAATTCTTGTCTGTATATCCTCCTCTTCACCTGTCTTCCACTTTGCGAGGCCAAAGTCTCCAAGCTGTGTTTGCAGAGAACGTGCATAACTATGCAGTAAAAACGAAGTTTTAACGTTGAATTTTATGTTCGTCATGATATTTTCCTGAAAAGTCATGACATCATATATGTCTGTGGGCTTTTGTGGTTCTCCTGGCCCATTGGGCTGACCCGGTTTGTGCTACTTTGTTTTTATTTTGACCTTTGGATCATATGGATGGTTGAGATTAAAACTTGGTGGGATATTTTCTTGGTTTAAACCTTTTATCACGTGGGCTTAGCTCCTTTGAGACGCTTGGAAAAAGGCTGTCTCTCTGTCTTCTCACTCTCACGGTCTCTTCTCTATGTTCTGCTTCTTCCTTTGGTGTTCCATGGTGTTGATCCTAAAACCTATTGTTGTGAGATTCCTATATATTACTCAGACTTGAAATAGGAGCTGAGTTGGGTTGGTTTCTCGTTGGGTTCAGGTTCGATAGAAGGGGCAACCTTGGCTGAATAAGGTAGACCTTTGGTCGATGATCCTAGCCAAGGAAGAGGGGTTCTGAACTGGTTCTCTAGCTCTCTCTGGAAGGTGATTTGCATGGCGTGGAAGGGTGTTCCTGAGCCTATACCATTTGGCCAAATAGAAGAAGTGGACAACCTGTAGATAGGGAAGAAGAAGGCAGCTTACTGGACGGGTAAAAGGGAAGTGAAGCTTCATTTTTTAGGCTTTCGATTCTGTCCAGTATATGTTCTATATTTTCAGTCTCTGTTGATTTCCGTATGCTATGGTTTATATGTTTATACAAATGTTAGACTACGATGTTGTATATTCTGTAAATGCATTGTAAGCATATTTTAGAGCCTGTTAAACTCTGTTGAACTGGGTTTGATTTCTGATGATCACCGTTATGTTGTCATAATTCCTAACAATGTCTTATTTACAATAGCCCATGCCCGCAAGAACTACATCGTGCATTGAGATTTAAGAAAGCTGTATTAGTTCTACCTGAGCAGCGGAGATTTTAGGCCGTTGAAGGAAGTGACTGAATCAAGGCAATCATAATTGGACGAAGAAGGTAGGAAAGGGATTCAAATTCTCTCTTACAAGGATGGATCACTCTCTTAAATATCTTGAATTGTACGGAAATTGAGGCAAAACTACGGATGGATGCATTATTGTTCTTGCAAATTAGAGTAGAGGGTTTATCATAATTTTAAAAAAAATTGAAGACATTGAGAGACTGTTTATAGTATCTTATTCAGGTCATAGATCAAGCATAAGCCTATTGGACAGTTTTTAAATATTTTAATCAGAATACGGAGACGATCGGCTACAAAGGAGAGGAAAGTGGACTTGTTCCAGGGCCCTACAACCCAATCCCACCATGTACTCCAGCATCAAAGAGAGACTATATTACCGTAATGCAATTAAGATATTCAATCATCCAACAAGAGATAAAGACAATGGCTAAGGATATAGATTATAAATATTACCATAGGAACATATTCATGTGTGAGCAATATATTACTTGGTCGCATGTCCCGATGAATGATGGGACTTCCTCTACATTCTTCATGCAAAAACCGCAACCCTTTTGCAGTTCCAATAGCAATAGCATGTCTTCGGTGCCATTCAAGAACACGATCTGTGTTTTCTGACCACACACACAAAATCAATTGAACATTGGGGGGATACGGGGAGAGGGAGAGAGAGGGAGAGAGAGGGAGAGAGAGAGAGTAATGCTGTACCATATATACAATGTCCTACTTCAAGCAAAAAAGAACGAATAAAATATTGATGGTGGATAGATAACTTCAAAAACTTGTACATTTTTTTACATACCGAATAAATGCCACTCAAGTGATTTGTTGCAGACATACTCATAGACCAAGATGTTAAGGTTTTCCTTGCAACAAAAACCAAGAAGCATCACAATGTTCTTGTGGCGTGCAAAGCTTAGGACATATACTTCAGAATGGAATTCTGAAAACCCTTGTGTACTTGCTTCCTTGCGCACCTTTGCAGCAATAAGTTGCCCATCCTTAAGCCGACCTTTATAAACAAGACCATACCCACCTTCTCCCAGTAAATTATCAGATGAAAAATCATTTGTTGCAAGCTGTATCTCAGTATAATTATATCTCTTTGAATCTAACTCTGTTGTCATCCCACAAGCAATACAGAGAACAGGCACATCAGTGGATCTCTGTCGACTAAGCTTTCTTCGCTGTTTATGTATAGTTGGGGGAGAAACGGCATATTTATTTTCAGATTTAGCATAGCTACCTGCAGAAGCAATTCATTACAACTAAAAGTCTACAAAACATGTGAAAGACAGAAATAGAGGCAAAAGTTAACAGAGGATGCTCAAGACCAGCATTTCTTTTAGTTACAAGTTAAACATGCTACACGCACACACATAACCTTTCTAACCTGATTCATCTGGCTTAGGATTTGAACCAAATTCATCTTGCAAGGAAAAGCGGTGATCCTTGGAGTTGGATATGAACGAGTTGCTTTTAGCCATATCAGAACTTGCCAGGGAACCCATGGAAGCAGCGTAGTTGATAGACATGGATGTCTGTTCATTGTTATCGTTGTCTTGAGAAGATGGGAGTGCGACAGGCTTGGATAGCGAGTAAAACAACTTAACTTCAATATTATCAATATCCTTTTCAGAATAATCTGATCTCAAAACTTCTAGGGATAAGTTGTCAAGGACTAGTGCAACCTTGCAAGGTATATATTTAAGGTAAAACCTCCATTCCCGTCTTAGATGCCTGTAATTGTATACTATCAGGTACGAAATAAAATAAACTAGCAGTTAAAGAATATCAATGTAAATTTTGAAATGCATACTTAAACATAAGAAGTTAAAATAGATATTCAATCTCGACATTAGAACAGCTCATGGGCACCAACCGACCTTTAGAAAATGATATACTTAAGTCAAGCCTTTGAGAATAATGAATTTGGCTCTTGCATAAGGGTATTTGAAGAGATAAAAGGATCAAAAATGAGAAAGGCATATTGCCCCTCTGTGATTCGAAATGAATTCCATTCTCTCTTGCTTAAATATTTGTGGTCAGTCTTTGTGATAGTACTATTATCACAATAATGTTTTTCCAAAGTTTAAACTCATATATAATGGTAATGTAAAGTATTGAAATTCTCTATATCATTTTGAGAACCTCAATTTTGCCTATATATCCCTCATCAATAAATTTTCATCCATCTCCCTTCTTCATTACAACAGAACATTCTTCGAAGAAAATAGCATACAGATATTCTAAGTCAAATGTGATCCACATATGTCAAAATCAAAAGCTACCTATCAAGTATAACCCAGGTTGCATTGGAAGTCAAAACTTCTTGTACGATAACCCTCTTCATTGGAGTTCCAGCCGTAATCTTGACTTCAATATCAACCTACATAAAGAGGATATTGTGGTGATGATTGACTTAAGGAACCAGTCTGCATTATTTGAAGAGAAATCGTGATATTCACATGAATGCTCAATAAGGAATACTTCAAATGTAGCCATGGTGTTTCTGCTACCGAACATACAATAAATGATATGAAAGTTGAGCATTACAAAAACTGTTCTCTGAAAAAAGTGTAGGTACAAACTGTGTTTGGCTGCACAAAAGTATAACAAAAGTATAAATTTTAACATTATGACTTCTGCAAGTTTGCAATCATGTCTACAATTTTCATCAAGCAATGACTTCAAAGGCACTATAAAAGCATATATTACCCCTTCGTCGTCACATTCTTCAGCACTGTGATGGAGCATACCTATATATGCATCAACCTTTTTCGAGACTTCTTCTTCCATGGCACGGATGTGATTTGTTCCAAGGAAATTCTCCGAAGCTACTTGCATGTGGTAACCCACTGTGCAGAAATACGAGTTAACAAATTAAAACAAAAATTGAAGTCTAGAAACAATTTGACAGACCAAAAATGGTCCATACTCCATCTGGCCATAATCCTAATATAGATTATCTTAATTCAAAAATGTAGATCATCTTAAATTTATAAAGAAACAAACACTAAAAAGCATAAAAACTTACAGGGATGAAGGATTCTGTGTAAAACCCCGAGTACAGTAATCGTATCACCAGCATGAATAATACCCCCTTGCATCCTGATATTATGAATAGTGTGCTTAAACTCCTGATTATCACGATCTTTAGTCCCATCACACACAATCAAAATCCGTGAAGGCATGAGAGGATTACCCCTATTATTATTATTACCACTATTATGATTATCGCTTCTCTCCATGGCTAATGACATATCAAATCTTAGAATCTTGAATGCAATGTATTCACAAATTCTGGAACAAATATAAAGGAATTTTTGCTAGTAGTAACAAAAACTTTCATAATTTGAGAGCGAGACTTTAACCAATCATAAATGACTTTACCCAGTAAAATTTTTCTCAACTTGTATCCCATTGTTTATCTCAAACTTTGTGACCGAGTCTGTGTATTGGATTTACAGAAAAAAGAGAATATCCATGGTATATTTCAGTTTGATACCGAGCATATTCGAGTGGAGTGTGGCGGGAAGTGAAGCCAAACATGGAACAATGACAAGAGAGATGATAGCAAATCACTTGAAGACGAGATTAAAGAATCATTCTCCGAATTTTGTACAGCTTAAACTGACGAAGGTCTGAATTTCCGAGGTAGGGAAAACCGAAATTGTTTTGTCTTCCTCATTAGGATGTGTATGACACTGTCCGTACAGGCATCGGTTCGAATTTTGTAACGGCCCGGGTTTTTTTAACGGTCTTCTTATAAGTTTGAAATAGGATGAACTGGCGATGAAGCAGGGACGGACGCAGAGTTTTAAAGTTAGGGGCACAATCGAACTTGAAAAAAAGTTGGGAAAAATTTTACAATAAAAAATTTACATCCAAAAAATCATACTCGGTGTAATTTTGCATCCGAAAATTTACATAAGATATAACTTTTTCGAATGTAAAGTTTCGAAAATTTTTGATGTTATATTCCATATAAAATTTTCTAATAAAATTAATGATGAAAATTACATTGAGAAATTTGTATCGCAAAAATAATAAATGCTAATAAAATA